TCTTGCATTCGTGATTCTTCTGCCTCAGCCACTAGAGTAGCTAGGATTACAGGTCTGTGCTGCTGTCTTACTTTTCTCTTGTTGCTGAGATAAAATACCTGACACCCAAAGCTAAAGGGAGAAAGGTTTATTTAGTTCATGGTTTGTACAGGTTTCAGTCCATAATCAGCTGGCTTCAAGGCAGGGTGGCTCGGTAGAGGGGCACTGCCAGGAGAACAGTTCATGGCAAGCAGAAGACAGCAAAAGCAAGCAAAGGACCTTAACAGTGTCTTTCTGCCCCTTTTATTTTATCCCGGGTACTTAGAGCAGGTAGCACTCACACCCTTAATACCAAGGCCCTTGATCCTTGCATTGCACCATGAATCAATTCCAGCATCACAAATTCTAGACCCTGCCGCTTCTGAAGAAGCCCCACCTATGACAGCATGGGGCTCTGAGGGAACATCTAGACACAAGCCATAATAGCAACCAAGGCACAGTGTCTGAATGCCACAAAATGAGTGGCTGGTTTACTTCTGATTCCTCTAGAATCATCTAGCCCAAACCCTATTTCTCTGCGAGTAATGATTTCCTACAGCACAACTCTCTACAGAAATAGGAAAGGCAACAGGGTCATCTGAATTAACTTTGGAAGAGATTTAGGACATGGAAAGAGTATAGAGACACTGTCTTTTAGAATATTGTTGCTGTATGATCCATGCAATGCCTTCTGCAGAATGTCTTGGGAAAACTGTCTATATTTAAAAGAACAATACTTATTATTAGGATGAACAAAACAAGGATAAAGTCTTCAGAGCCCTGGAAGAATGAAGTTTAAATTAAAACCAAATGTACTATTTGTATCTTATTATTTTCTTATTCTTTATTTACAGAACACTAGATAAACATAAAAATAGAGAAGATTGCTTAGAAATTAAAGCCATTGATTTGGGTCTCTTCTTGAAAGGTCAGTGTGTGGGAGATGTGAAAAGCACTATAGCGACAGAATAATCACACAATAGACATTTTAGCCGCAAACCTACAGCTATTTATATCACCCACATCAAGTTGCTGGTCCTTTCACTTGTCAAAGAAACTAAGAAATTTTCTGTAGACATTCTTTGGGTATAGTCATGATACAGTTTTGGAATGAGTTATTAGAAATTATAATTAAAGCTGCTTTACCATACTCCCTAATTATTCTGTATAGTTAGTCTTCCTGAAACTTTATATGATTCGCCCTTTGTTATAAGCTTCAGTTTCTCCCAAGGCCTGCTGAATCCAGACAGGTAATGAAACCACGTGCCTGGAAACCAGTGTATTGTCCTATCTGTTCAGCCAAAAATATATTCAAACTTAAAATTATTTACAAAATTTTTTTTTCTGTACACGGAGCCAGGCCATTTATAGGTCTCAGCTTTACCATGTAGGTAAGCACATCCCTGGAGTAGAAGGAAAAGGTGAAGAAAAACAAAAATTGAAAAGGGCTACATCAGTATTTCTTTCAGGAACACACACCACTGTGAGAAAGGGGGCATATTTTTGTTCAGCAACTCTCAACGTCCACCTGATGTTGCCGTTAGCCTGGTCGAATATCTGCCAAGCTAAGTGATCCTTTCCTTCACCACTAGAGAGAAGTAGAGGGACCTGATGTTAAGAAGCAGCAAAATCCATTTCCCGTTTTTTTTTTTTCTCCTGCTCTCATATTCCGGTGCTTGAGGGCGGTGATGCACATCCTCTCTCTGTTCCAGAATAATTGTGCCAAGGGAATCGAAGAGGATCCTCTCCAAGCTAATAGCTAGCAAGACAGGAATGCACCTCGTTTCATTTTCTTCCAGGGAAGCAGACTCAGAGCTGCTTAGATGCTGTGAGACCGACTGTCACAGAGGGTAGGCTCCGGGGGAGGGGCAGAATAAGGCAGGACTAGTAACAAAGACTCTGGGGACAGATCACCAACCTGAGAAACACCAGTGCGGGACCTTTTACCCTCCGCAATCTTCTTCCCTGGATCTAACTTTATCTTCATTTCCCCTTTCCCCACCAAGCAGCAGTAGATAACTGAGCACAGCCCTGGATTTTACCGTGTAATCTAGTAGAACACCTAGACATCCGGGACTCCTTATCCTTGGTAATTTGTAAAATAAAGAAATCTGTAACTCACACCAGGCTGTGTGGACAGGATTTGCATATTTAGAAACCAAATGGAGGCCTTTCTCCTACTCTTCCCAGTATGGGCCCCATTTCCTTTTGCACTTAAGGTCCCTGTCTCCTTCAAGGGGGCCAGAACCACGCACAAATCCAGCCTCCAATAAATATCAACACTAAAGCTTCAGCAGGCTGCTACCTCCTGCAGAGCTATCTTAAAGATGCTGTATATAAGTGCTAGATTTAAGTAGCCTCAGAGATCTCTAAGAACACTGTAAATATCCCTGGTTTAATTAGTGGTCCTGAAGTTAGGTAATGGCTGTGGCTTTCTGAGCTAGTCCTCTTGAGGTTTCTAGTCTTCAGGGACTGCCTGCAACTATGATGTGCACACACACGATCTTCTTTCTCATAGGCTTCATAACCCCTCTTTAAACCTTCCTAGGAACCTACTCACAATTATAAAACACACGCTAATCCACTCCTATTTTCCCAAATTTCTAAAATGACCCAGTGCCCAAGCCTCAAGGCAGATACTTATGGATTAAAATTGTTTTCTTGAGTTCTATTTCCCCAGGGAAAGAATTAAAAAGGAAGAAATTCCTAGGTTGCTGTTGATCCATGCCAGTTCTCTCCAGGCAGAAGGTGGATACTTGCTTTGTAGCTGGTTGATGGGGGAGGGAAATGGGTTCTAGTTTTCAGCATTTCTTAACTAGCTGTCTTTCAGCGATAGGTCAACCAATGTGGGCTGACAGGAGACTTGACAGGTGTGTTCTGGGCTGATGCCATTGACTAGGTTCTCGATCAGGAAAAGCGGACTCTACAGTAGATGGGGCGCGCTCACCAGTTCATGGGTAGTGACTGGAAGTTTGTTGCAACTCGACAAATCCAAGCAGCGGGCTGCAGAGAGATAACCAGAAAGGTTCTCCTTAACCAGCTAGGAGATGCATGGTACCTCTCCCACCCCCACCCCTTCTCCCACGGTTGGGAACACGCAGTGTTGGCAGATCTTAGCCAGGAAGCTCCAGGTATCAGTCCCCGGGCTTGCTCTGTGGGTGACAGGCGAGGGTAGTGACAGCCTGGTGACTGTCCCCTCCGGGATGCAAGGCTAGGCGGCGGCCAGCGGAGCAGGAGGCGGGGGCACGTGCTTGGATGTGGTGCTTGTGTAACCAGCTTCCCAGGCGCTCACCAGACAGCGCTCCCGTGGGAAGCTCGTCGGTGCCCCCTTTCCCGCTGCGTCCGTGGCGGACTGGGTCCTACTGCCTTTACCCGGCCGGAGTATCCCAAGCAAATGAAACGAAGCACTTGCCGCTGCAGCTAAGGTAGGGCAGTGGGAATTTGGAAAGTTCCCCAACTAGGTGCACACGTGACCTCCTCCTGAAAGTAGTTCCGACGGCGGCTCTGGTATCCTTCCACCTCCTTTTGAACCCTCCTAGGCCTCCTCGCCCCGCCCACTCGCAGGGCTGCAGCTTCCTACCGTTCTGTACTTCTCTCTCGGCCTCGGGCTGGCACGGTCCAGCGGGGGGCGCGCGGAGCCTGGCCCGGGGCGATCCGTCGTGCCTGGTTTTCTCCGCGGCCGAAGAGGGGCGGGGCGAGGCGAGGGAGCCTCTGAGGACCGAGCTTGGGTTCGCCGCGGTGGAGCGAGCTGGAGCCGGAGGGGAGATGCTCGTCTCTGCAGGGGCAGCGGGGCCTGGGGGGCTTCCCCCCGCGCGGGGACCCTCCTTCAGCCCACCTGCACAGGTGTCCTCCGCCCTGGGAGTCCAGGGAGATGTGTCTGTGTCCACGCTCCTCGCGTTCGGCCGACAGCTTTCATTTTTGGGGCGACTGAACCGCGTTTCCTAGGAAGCGCGAGGTGGGGCAGCGAATGGGAGCCGCGGGGGGCGATACACGTAGGAGTCACAATGGGGGATTGTTCTTTGTGGTGAGACTGACACCTTGAGGACACGGTAGGGATCTCTAGGTAAAGTCCGCACCAGCCAAATTTCCGCGAACTGCTGGGATCCGAGAACAGCGCCTAAGGACAGAGCCAGGGTGCAGGCCAGACCCGCGCGACCCGGGGGCGGGAGTGGGGTGTCCTCGCGGCGGGCACCGTCGCTGCAGTCCCCTGTACAGGCGCTGGCCAGTGCGGTCACTTGCTCCCTTCCACCTGCGTGCACAGGTATTGTCTAGACGAGGTCAGTGACACCGCTCAGTGCACCCGTGGAGCTCTGATCATCAGCCCCCTCCCGCCACCCTCCCCCCGACGCAGCCTGCCCTGACTGGCAGGGTTTCCGGGCACAGGCCGAGGCTCAGCTCTTCATTCCCGTCCCGGCTGCTGCAGCACGAGCAGCCGCCATCAGAGTCAGTGCAGCTCGGAGCCGGCGCCCTGGAGCGAGCCCCGGCGGCCATACTGGGCATGCTCAGTGGCGCCCTCAGGCCGGGCGGGTGGGGGGTGTTTCGCGCTCGCCCTGCGCAGCCGCTCCCGCCCTCTCGCAGCCCTCCCCCGGCGCGGCCGGCCCACCCCGTGCTCGCCCGCCCTCCTCTCCGCCTCCCCTCGGGCTCTCGAGGCGCCCGGATCCCGGCGCGGCGGCGGCGGCGGACGGTGATGTGGCGGGACTCTTTGTGCACTGCGGCAGGATACGCATTGGGGCGCCGGGACGCGGCTGCGCTCAGCGCTCTCCTCTCGGAAGCTGCAGCCATGATGGAAGTTTGAGAGTTGAGCCGCTGTGAGGCCAGGCCCGGCTCAGGCGAGGGAGATGAGAGACGGCGGCGGCCGCGGCCCAGAGCCCCTCTCAGCGCCTGTGAGCAGCCGCGGGGGCAGCGCCCTCGGGGAGCCGGCCGGCCTGCGGCGGCGGCAGCGGCGGCGGTTCTCGCCGGCTCTGGGGCTCCTCTTCTAACCGCGCCGCCTCGTCTCGGCGTCTGCGGAGAGGAACGGTGGAAGCCGCGGGCTCGGGCGGGAGCCGGCGGAGGCTCGGCGGCGGCGCCTCCCGCTCCTGGAGCGGGGGGGAGAAGCGGCGGCGGGGAGGGGGCCGGAGTCGCCTGTCACCATTTCCAGGGCTGGGGACACCGGAGAGTTGGTCTCTCCCCTTCTCCTGCCTCCAACACGGCGGCGGCGGCGGCGGCACCTCCAGGGACCCGGGCCGGCTCTGAGCCTCCCCTCCGCCGCCGCCGCGCCCGCCCCGGCCCGGGCTCCGGAGGCCGCTGCAGGAGGCAGCCGTTCCGAGGACCGCTCGTGGTGTCCGCATCCCGCTGCCGCCGCTGCCAGGCCGCCGGCCGCTGAGGAGAACCAGGCCCCGTCGCTGCAACCATCGAGCAGCCGCCGCAGCAGCCATTACCCGGCCGCGGTCCAGAGCCCGGCGGCGGCAGAGCGAGGGGCATCGGCCACCAAGTGCAGAGCCGTCTCCATCCTGCAGAAGAAGCCCCGCCACCAGCAGCTTCTGCCATCTCTCTCCTCCTTTTTCTTCAGCCACAGGCTCCCAGACATGACAGCCATCATCAAAGAGATCGTTAGCAGAAACAAAAGGAGATATCAGGAGGATGGATTCGACTTAGACTTGACCTGTATCCATTTCGGAGGGCCGCTCCTCCTCGCTTTTCTGTCAGTCTCTTGTGAAGTGGGAGTAGACGGATGCGGAAAATTTCCCTAACCCTGGTCGCGTTGCTCGCTCAGATATTTTTTGCCTCTCTTTTCGGTGTGTTCAACGTAGGGTGTGTTTCGCTTGACGGAACTCAAGCCTGGTTCAAGTGTCAGCGCACAGATTGCTTTCTTAGTCTGTCTCTGTGGTCTCTTCCTGAGGGCTATTGTCCGTTAATGCAGAGTACAGTGCACTGATAGTGGATTAGTGAGCTCGGTAATCCGGTCTAATAAATGAACAAAAAAGACGCTTTGAGGTTCAGCATATTTCGATTAAATCTTGGTTTAGGCCTTAGATCAAGGGTATAGATCAGATTAAAATGAAAATTAATGTTGCACGTACGCATATTGCATCAGAATCTTGCAGTGATTGTGTTTAGCTTCCTGGGTTGCATTGATAGATTCTTTTAAAATGTGAGTTGTGGACTGATTTGCATAACTTTAAAAGCAGAATCCTTTTCAGCCTATGTGGTGCGCGTTGGTGGACAAAGGTAGGTTTGTATGTTTAAACTAAGTCATAACTCTGAATTGCATTTGGAAGTTTTGTAGTTTGAAATCCATAGTGTCATAATACACCTTATAAGGAACTCGTATTACATCTTTGTTAAATTGGTCTTTTTCTTTTCTCACAGGGTAATGCAGGATAGGGTATGAAATTTGCTTTTCAGTAGCATTTTCTTTTCAGTGGCCTTGTCATACATAATAGAACAGAGAATGGGTAGTTTTTGATCCGGATGATAATGTCCTGTAAGTTCAAGGGTATTGTGTGCAGCAAATGATGATTACAGAGATTAAACTTGAACTCTCATTTGAAATTTAAATATCGCGAACCAGAATTACTACTCTCACTCTGTTTTAGGTTTTAGGTGTTCTGACACCTTCCAGGTATCCGTTAATTTTACTCTGATGTATGTAGAATGTCAGGTATAACTTACCAGCGAATATTGAGAAAGGCTGGCAAGAACGGATTCTCCAGCTTCAGATGCAGTAGGTATGCTAGCTTTTTGAATACAGTATGTTAAATTCACTGAGTCAGCTTGTTGAATAAGACAGAAACCTAAGAATTTTAACGGTGTGTAGTTTTGATTGTTTAAAAGTTAGGCTTTTTACTTCAGAAAGTTAGTGGTTATCGAAAATCATTAATCTTTGCAGTTTCAGCTAAAACAAACTGATTTTGATCAGGGATGGTGATGGAGCACTCCTTCTTGCTGGATGGAAAGTATTGACAGGAATTGAGAGGTATTGGTAGGCCAGTAAGTGTGAAAATAAATTACTGGTCTGAAGTGACTGAAGCATTTAAGATCTATCAGGGCTTCTTTTAAAACCCCGTGTTTGGTGCTGTGAATTGTAGTAGTGGGCGATATTTAATTAAAGTTATGTAGTTGTGCATTACTAGTTGTGTTTTTCTTTTGGCCGAGAGAGCGCTTGAACCAGGGCCTTACATAGGCTCTGTTAACACACTACCACTGAACTACACCACCAGTCCAATAGGGTATTCTTGCTAAGTTATTTCCTAGCAAATATCAGTTAATGTTATGTTTAAAGGTAGAATGGCACTAAGGTCTATCTCCTGCTGATATTTTTGTTTGTTTTTTTTAAAGAAAAATGTCTTTGGGAGAGGTTTTATTCTTTGGGATATTATTAGCTATATATAAACATGCGCAGCTAATTTTTTCCGTTTTTATTTTGAAATGAAGATGAAATTATTGGAGAAGTAACTTCACAAGACTTGTTTTCTGTTAAAAGATAGTATTTTAAAAGGAGTACAGTATTTGGAAACTTTCGAGTCTGCATTAATTGAAGAGTTTTTCCCCGTCCTATATTTGACCACCTTGCCCAAGACATAATTGGGGAAGAATTCTGATTTATGACTTAACTTCAAAAGGAGCCTATTACAAACATTTAGATACATAAGAATAAATTAGATTTCTATATAACTTGTTTTAAAAGCCCCATAGAAAGAAATTATTAGAATGCTGTCTAGTATATGTCAGCTTTCAGAGTGTGATTATGCTTTTACTTTTTCCGCTTTAAAACTGTGAAGGTTTATATGACCTTAATGTTATTTTGCCAGATCTTTATGTGTGAGCAGTGAAGTGATTAGTAGTTTCTCCTTTGATTTCATATTATGTGGGCCTCTGCACGTGAAATTGATGTGACTTAAAACCCTAAAACTGTACTTTTAGTTATGGTATGCGTAGAAAGCAATATCAAATACTGCATCAAATGACTAATTACACTCAATTTCTAGAGTTGTGGTTTTATTGAGCCAAATATTGTTATGAAAAATGTCAGTGAAGACCTTGCTCTTTTCATAGTTTTATTCCCAATAATTTTGACACTCCAAAGCACTTTGATTTGCTTGGTTTCACTTCACTGTTTTCCAGGGGGGAGCATTAAAATGGTTATTGAAGACTTTGTCTTGGCAGGTTGTAGTGTCTGTTTCAGGCGCTAGCCTGGTAAAAGTTAAATTCCTTATGAAAATATGAATGGAATATTTTTATTTGCTAATGAAGTGATTTCTCAGAGGAAAGCTGTGGATGATGATTCAGTTTTAAAATACTTTGCAAAATTGAATTAATCTTAATTTATTAGTGTAGTTTTAGTAATGTTAGTCTGGAAAGGTCTGCTGAATATGAGACTTAAAAAATATTCTGTCTAGAGTATGTGGAAACTGTAGGCTTTTGTTGCAGTTTTATTATTTGGTAGATTTACATTTTTTCAGACTTGGATGTTTGTCCGGAATGTTTTTAACTTGTAGAGAGTAGAGTGACCATTAAAGTTAGCTATATTTTTAGGCTGTGATTATTGAAATTAACTATAAGGGTTCTAAGAAAACTATTCACAATCATTTTTATGTTGACTAAGTTATATCTTTTGTAAAACGTGACTGGATTATGTAATTGCTATAAAATAATTTACAAACATTATTATTATCATTATTATTTTTGGTTATTTTTGGTTATTTTGAGTCAGTCTCACTAGGTAGTTCAGGCTATCCTTGAACTCACTTTGTAGCCCAGGCTGGTCTTAAACTTGTGGCAATCCTTCTGCTCAGCGTTCCGAATGCTGGAATTACAGGCAATGCACCACCAGGCCCGGCTTTCAAATTTCACTTTATAAAGTTTGTTCAAGAGTAAAGTTAATGGTAAGGAGTAATTTACAGTTTGATGACTGTGATTATAAACAAAAGGAATTTTATTGTTTTTGCCAGTCGTATGAAACAGTACATAATGAAGATTTATTTTGCTCATAATGTGTTAAATACTAAATAAAGGTAAATTTGATGAAATATAGTCACTTTAATTTTAGGCCTCGTTTTAGAAAGGCAGAGATTCATCTGTGTCGCATTTTAGAATTTTACTTTAACAGTGAGAGAAGAAGCTGGTGATATTTTTATGTGGAACAGTATCCCTGCTTTCTCATAATGACTATATAAATATGTAAACTTATTAATGTTATGAAATACGTTTGGAAGTAAAGTTTTCAGTTATTAATTTCAAATATTCTCATTTTGGAATTTGCTCTCCTTTTCTATTTATTTGGTGATAGATTAATACCTTTAAGAAATTTTTAAAGCCACTTTTATATATATTTTTTTTTTTTTTGGTTTTTCTCTGGTACTGGGAACCGAACTCACGACCTTGTGCTTGCCAGGCAGGCGCTTTGCCGCTGAGCTAAATCCCCAGCCCCTTAAAGCCACTTTTAAAGAAATCACTTCCATGACTTTTAATTGGAGGATTATTTGTTGTAGGAAAATCAGTTCACAAAGATTCAACATTCACGCTCAGTAAACATTTAATATGTAAATTTTTGTCTCAAATCTTTTTAGTAATTCAAAATGTAGGAGATTGTCTTTATATTGATAATGTGTATAAGTTCAAGGTTTGTAAAGAAAAATTTAGAAGAGTGTATGAGTATAATGATTTTTCATTTACTTGAAGTGTTAGTCCTCTGCCATACTTACAAGGCTTTGTTTCCAGAATATATAGTGTTGGTGTAGTTGAAGATATTTATTTGGTACCTTTATTTTTTGTAGAAACCCTGACTTCAAAAAATTATTCTGAAGTTTTAGTGTGTAGGGCTCATTACTCCTTACTTTTGTTCCCTTCTTACTGTCCCTTTTTTTTTGTTAGATACATTTGATATTGTGTCAGCATTGGAGAATTAAAACATTTTGTAGCCTAAATTCATTAAGAAAAGGTGTTAGGATTTGTTTTAGACATAATGAGTTAAGACATTTGCATCAGTTTGTGAGGTTATGGTCAGAAGTAATTTCTGCAGATACTTGACAGCTTTGGAATTACTGTACTTGCTTTCGGAGATATCAACAGTGTTGAGGTTAGACCGAGTAACCTTAAGTTGGTAAGGGTTTGCTGAGCAAATTGATATCCTTAATTCTCTTTTGTAGGCCATATTACTGCCACATACGTTTTTTTTGCTAGGTAGGTGAAAGTGATTTGATCGGTGAATAATGGTTCTCTTTCTAAGTATTGAGTACATATATTCATTTGTCAGGAAAGGTAAAATTAGTATATTGGATTTGACTCTTCACCTTTTTTCTAATTTCTTTATTGGTTGCATTTCATTCTTATAAAATAATTTGGACTGGTATGAAAAAGATTATTGAAATAATAAACAACTTTCAGTGAATTAATTTTGGCTGGGAAGTTTAAATTTAGTCCAGAATTGTTAAAGCAGCCTCTTTATTTGCAACAGGTGAAATTAGGACATGGGTGGACATTTTCAGAATAGGAGGTACACACTTGTTGATAATGCGAAGATTGTTGAGAAGTGGTTATTGTAGCTGCACCTGCTAGTCAAAGAATGTTCTTAATCTATACGTAGTGCAGGAAAGAAGACTGTTTATGAGTTATATTTTAAGTAATTATCCATATAGTTAGCAGTAGTCATTACTTCAAATAAG